AGATGTGATTCAAAAGAATGATCAAAGTGATATGATGATCTGGCTTTGAAGATGGATGGAGGCCAGAAGACGAGGAATGTAGATGGCCTTTCCAAGATGGGAAAGATAAGGAAATGAATTCTTCCCTAGAACCTCCACAAAGAACACATCCTGACTCCTACCTTGAATATTAGCCCAGTGAGACCCCTATGGGACTTCTGGTCTACTCAATTACAGGAAAAAAATTTGTATTATTTATACTATTGTGTTTATTGTACTTTACTGCAGTAGCAATAAGAAAACCTAACTCCATCAGCGACAAAAGTTCTTTGATATTGGAGAGAGGTGAAAAAAGTTCAGTCTTTCTGTGTTACCTTTCTCTTTCTTTCCATCCCCTCAAACAAGCACATCTATTCTTTACAATTACTATGGCAAGATTGTTCAAAGTGACATGGTCTGGTAAGGTAGACTGACCAAATCCTAAGCAGAGTGTAGTGCTTGCTCAAAAAGCAGAAAACACCAAAGGGTTCAAATTTGTCTTGGGGCTTGGTTTGCAGGGCCTTTCCAGCCGTCCCTGCCCTGTTCCATGTTCTCTTGTGTATCCAAAAGCTGACTCTAACTCTGCTTTGATTCAGGATATTTTGATGCCTTCTACTTATTCTTCCAAAGGGGGATTTCTGGTTTTGTTGTTTTCATTCCTGCATGATTCTGATAGCTTGAGGTGCACTCACCTTTCTACTTAGCCAAGATGAACACGTATCTGAAAATATCTTGTTTTGGGACCAATTTACATGCATGTATATATTCCCTATCTTTCTAAGATGGCTTCAGCCTTAATTTTCTTCTAATTTCAGTGAGAGAAAATACCCATTAAATATATGTTTATGATTTGAAAAAGATTTATGAAATGAAGCAATACTTCAAGTGGCAACTAGGGTCTTCAGTTCTCAGAGAGAATTACAGCTCTTATTCTAAGTTCTTCACTTTTTCATTTTCTTCTTCAATCCTTTTGCTCTCTTATTTTTAGACTCCATCTCTTGGCATTTTTAAGTCCATGCAACCCTATTCAAAATCACTTTTCATTAGAGAAATCAAAGAAGTTATTCATATGCTTTGACCCAGAGATCATACTCCTGGGAAATAAGAGAAGTCAGATGCCAAATGCACTGAGATATTTCTTACAGCACTAAGAATGATTTAAAAACTGGATAAAACCTAAATGTCCCATCGCAAGGAACTGCTAAGTTATGAAATATTAACAAAATGAATAACAAACAGTAAATGTATAATTATGAAGGAGGAACTGGATTCAAATCCCAACTAAATTATTTAACTACTGAACAGACATGTAAGTCTGTGCAAGACATCTTCTATTTAAGCCAGTTCCTCATTTGAAAACACAAATAGCACTGATTTCCATATTGATGACATGAAGATTAAATGAGTTCACGTATATGAAGTGCTTAGAATAATTCTTGGAACATTGTAACTGCTCACTAAATTGTGACATCTTCTTTATTTTTAAATTGAAAATTAGAAATCACCATTATGATTGTAACACATACAAGAATTGGTAGATTCACATGAAGTTATAAGAATAATTTCTTACATTGATATTTTTAAAATAACCCATAAAACAATGAAGCTTTTATTTAAAAAAATGCTTACAGTATTCCTATATAGTTTTAAACAGTTGAATGACTTGAAAGCCTTATGGCTTCCAGTGGTTGCTATAGGCAATTTTATGTTCATTTTATTGTACAGACTAGCAAATGCTTATGAAAGTGAGCAATACAAAGTTAAAAAAAAAATGAACCAACTCTTTTTACTTGCATTTCAGCAGCTTTCAGGAAGGCCTAATCATAAGGGGAGTGAAACTTTATTCTACTGACATGCCCTCCAAAATAGCACAGGCTCACAATAGGTAGCCCCAATGAGGCCCTTTTTATGATGACAAAGAAAACCATTCCTACAAATCAAAGCCCATATAAACAAGGAAAAGGCTATTTAAAAATATTCACAATCAATGCCAGTTGTCAGCCTGCTGGAAACACTGGTTGAAATAACTGTACCCATCACATATTTATTTCCACAGATGGAGAATTATATATTTGACTTGTTGAAAAGGTTGGTTACTAAAAATACTGTTTTTTAAAAAAAACACAGAAAGAACAAAAAGAGTAGCAGCTGCTTATTTCCCTGTAACAAAATGAGACTTTGTAATACAGCAAGGGATGAAGAGCAAAGCTGAAAATGAAGCGGTTTATAAAAGCCTCACTATAAAGCAATGCCACAGAATATAATGTTGATTAGAATTTAATGAAACTGCCAGGCATCTTGAAATATCAGTCATGTAGTTTTGATACCTTATTGAGAAAACTATGGAATCAATGTGGTGGTGGTTTTATCACCAATGCTGCTGCCAGACAGGTGGATGGATACCTTGAGCCTCTAGAGAAAACAGTATTCTGTGTTGAAGTGCAGTGACAGAGGAGGGAATTTCATTGTGGTAAAGAAAAGAATGACTTTATGTCCTGTCTGTAACAATGAACTTTCCTTGGGTAGACTTTTATTCAAGATGCTCTGTAAAAATGATTAAAAATACCCCCCAGGGTAAAATTATGCCTTCATATCAAAACTAGCTAATTAATGGTTTTGTTAGGAAAAAGATAGACATGAGCGGCTGGGCAAGGGGAAGATAAGGTTCCAGAAAAAAAATGCCCAAACTCTGCCCAGGTAGGAGGTCTCCCGTGGGACAACAAAGGCTTTGCAGGCAGATAAATTCTTTGCATATGGGGGCCAGGCCAAACTGATGCCAATGAGGGCACAAATGAACAAAGCTAAGAACCGCCCAAAGCACGCCTCATCATGGGAAAGGGCATGCGTACCGAGAGGGATGGCTACGTGGATGGACCCGTCAATCAAAGAGGCGCATCCTAGCCAGAATGCAATACATAGGCCTCCCACCTAATGGATTGAGGCCTTTGTCTACCTTGACTCTGGCCTGTTCCTCCCTTAGAGTATTCAAGTAAAACTTCTGCTTTGCTTTGCTGTTGTCTCTCTGCCTTTCAATTCTTTGTTTCAGAGGTTCCAAGAACCACGGAGAACAAACTCAACCTGTAACAGTTTTGCACAGTGAGCTCAAACGAAAGACAACCACAATCACTATACTGCTTCTCCAAAGTCATCTGCAGATGACTATCCAATTTCTTTTCTCACTCCTTGTGCTGGGTTTTACTAGTTCCAATTCACAACTAAATTGAATCCAGACCTAAGATGCTATTGCTAATTTATTTTAAATCTTTTTTTCCAGTTATGCACCAAACTGAGAATTAAACCCCTAGGATTTGCCCTTGAATCCCACAGCCTCCCATGGTATGTCTAAGTCTGCTGTTCCTTAGCCCTTGCCTGTGTTTTCTCCACTAAGCATCAGAAATTAGATAAGCTAAGAAATGAGAAGTCTCACAACTAATGGGGGTTAGAAGATGAATATTATTTTATAACTGAGTTTATTAACTATTAGTAATTTCTGAGAGTCAATGCTATTACTTCAGCAATAATTGTACATTTCTATTTGTTCTAGATGAAAATAAGCCAAAATCATCTGACCAGTATGTATAATGGGATGATTGTTGCTTTTCTTTGAAATCTAAACTGGGACTAAGTGAAATGTAACCATTTAAAATTATGTGATCTTGACATTAAGTCAATGTTTTCTCAATAAAGGCATTTACAAGAGCTCAAATTTATCAGTCAACTCATTTTTAAATGCATTCATAAACAATTTGGACAGTATGCTTCAGACCTTAAGGAATTGTAGAATATTTTAGTTTTAAGGTACCTACAGGTCAGTGGGTCTCCTCTTAAGTACACTTCTAGAGATATAGAGGTTCAAGTACCAGACCCAGGTAGGTTTCTGAGAGCCTGGACTAAACAAGTCTGCTTCAGAGCAAGGCATCATGGAGAGAGTGAAAGACAGTGTTCAGAGATGAGGCTGGAAACCTAAGTCAACTAGTCAAACCGAAGTACATATTTGAAAATGCTGAGCTGATAAATACAAACTAAGCATAAGGGAACTGAAGAGCCTAAGGTTACCAGGACAAAGCAAATAAATGAATTTATATAAAAGGGTAAGAGTTGAAATCTGGTGAAACACCCTGAAATACTGTGTCAAAATCACAGCGACTTTTTATACAGCATTTTTAGTCTTGTTTCTGAATGGAGAATTGTTGAGTCCTGAACCAGTTAAGTATTGCTGTAAACTCGTTGCTTAAATTTTCCTTATAGAATTCAAGTTGAATTAGCCATTGAACCTATGTGTGAAGAATTACAGTGGCAACCACTTATTATTTTCCAAGGATGTCTGGTTTGGTTTTGGAAAGCTCTGAGTTTGGACAGTTTTTACTTTTACTGAACTAAAATGAGTCCGCTGTAACTTCCACCCACTGATCCTCGTCTTTTGTGCTACATGTAGCTATAATAAAATGTAATGTCAGGTGGACTCTTTTTAGAAATTCAGCTACACCCAAAAAATTCAAGTGGACTATCTGCATATCCTAAATTAAGGTTTTTATAGTCAAAAAATAGAAAGAGGCTATGAACTGCAGATAGCCTAATACTGACAAAATTTTTCTCAACCTTCAAATGTTTTGTGGCATTTTAAACATTCTGTAATAAAATAAAAATCTTAAAAGATAAAAAAGCTTATAATAGGATTATTATTCTTATTGTCAACATATTTAGTGAGTCACATTGTACATTTCTATTTGTTCTACATGAAAATAGACAGGCACTTAACTAGTTTTGTTGTAAGGGTGGGGCCCTTGTTTTCAATGACCTTCAAATGTATAATCAGAACTGTGTCACGAAAGAGCTGAAGGTTGTTTTCTATTTGAAGTCCATAATACATTTTGGAGCAGGTATGTAAGATATAAGGGAAACATTATGCTCTCTGAGGGAAATAACACTGGGTTTCTCAAACTCAAAGCAATCAAATCAGTGTATATTTGTTACTTAAAATTTGTTTATTAAGATCAAAAAAGGGAACAATAAAAAAGAATATGCCGTTATCAGGAGGAAAAGATCAAAATTATTCGCACATTTTGTAAGAGCACCTTCATTCTGATACAAATCACAGTTACTTATTCCCAAATGGCATCCTTTCTTTGGAACTGTGTGCTTGAGAAAAGCTGTCAAAGGGATGGGCCAAAAACAGTAAGGCAAGCACAGGTGTGTCCTACCTGAGTTGGAAGGGCATGCATTGTATTAGGTTACAATTCTGATAATGGTCTTCACAGACAAATACCAGGGGTTTCTGCTGGGACATCCCCTGTGGACCTAGACATCAGTTGAGTTAGAGTGAGATCAGCTTTTTGGCCCTTCGCTATTGCCTAAGCCATTTATAAATGGCTCTGATACAACAAGTTGTGGTGATCCCCCTTTTCCATGAGCAGTGGCTGCTTTTCTTCAGGGAGCTGCTTTCTCTTGCAACGGCATAACAGGCTCCTGAGGCCTCCCAGCACGACAGTGAGGACAGCGCCTACCACAGCCGCCCCAGTGAGCCACGGCCAGAGGTGGCTTGCTTGTTCTAAGTAGGGCTTAATGTAGTCTTGGAAGAAGTCCGGTTCTGAAAGAGAAAGACACCCAAATATTGTTACTGTGGTCTTCACCGTCATCGTCATCATCGCCAGCACCCTTGCATAGTACTTTGGAGTCAGACGCTTGGATTTGAACGGCAGCTCTGCTACTTACTAGCCGTAAAGGCTTGGGATACCTAATACACCAAAGCCTCAGTTTCTTTATCAGGAAAATAAGAAAACAATACCACCTTTGGGATGTTTTAAAATTTATAGGTAATTTGTAGGTAATCTGATCTGTAAGTTATACAATGCCTGCCCACAATTCAGCTCCTGTAACTCTTTTGGCTATTTATTCTGGTATTTGCATCCATATTTCTAATAAATAGGTAAATATTGCAATCTCTTAATTCTATAACATTTATATCTGGAGTTCCTTATATAAAAACAATAATTTTAGCTTTCTTACAAGTTCCCTTTTCTTGAGCTTTTCGGTATGACATCATGATTTGGGGGCAAATCCACATCTAGGTTTTTCATGATTTTTAGTATTTAAATATTATTTACTATTGAACCAAGTATTATGTTAGGATTACATTGCCTCTCATATTGTTTTCCTTGAAGTTGAAGTTAATAATTTATTGTATCTTTGGCTTGATTTTAAAGTATCCATCACTATTTATAAGATGCTCTATAGTCATTTTATGATACAATGGAAAAAAGAGAATGTATTTTGGGCTTACCTTGCAGGAAATTTATGGCTCTCTGACTCAAGCCTTGAACAGAAGTAATATATGTAACTTTGGGCAGTTCCCTTAAAGAGACAAAGTATGCCTTCACCTTTTCCCTTTTTTCTGTTTTGCCTGTCTGGAAGGCAGATAGTGTGGGTGAGCTATCATGGACCATGTGGTCCAGGGCAGACCCTAGGTCCTGTGGGACTTCAAGAAAGGAGCAAGTCTGGTCCTTGAAATTATGGAGCTGATATTTGACAACACACAAAGACTATTATTTGAACAATAAATAAACCAGCTTATTTAAGACATGGATATTTGAACCTATATCTGCTTCTGACTGGTGCAGGAACTGTAGCATTCTTTGATGACCCCTTCCCTTGGCTGTAGTTGATTAGTACTCATTGGACCACTGACTCTAATGGCTAATCAGAATCATTACCCAGAATTCACTGAGCTAAAATTGAGAGTCAGGGGCTCAGGAGCTCAGAACAGCCTTACTTCTCAACATGTGGAACACAGGATGAAGTCTACACACGCTAAGAAGTAGAGGCAATGGCTGGACAATGACAGAGAGTTTTTAGGGTGCTTAGTTCCTGCTTCCAGCTCTTCCTTAGTCTCAGCTACATACCTGTTTCCCCCACCACAGTTTGAAAGTTCATCCCTTCCCTGGAATTTGTAAACCAATAAGTGCCCTCTTTATCTAATCTGATTCTGTGGCATTTCTTCAATTTGCATTTCAGAAATTCTTCAATTTGCATTTCAGAAAATCTAAAAAAATTAATTATATGCCAACTATAATAAAAGATAAAGTACCTTAGGCTATTTGGGATGCCAATTATATATAAGCACCATACATAATACAAATGAAATCCACAAACCAAAGAGAAAAGGAATATTTAATGAAATATCTTGGAAACATGAAGTAAAATTTAAGATGAGAGTCTCACTGTTCACCAGAAACTCAATAATATTTAGAACAGTTCTAGCAGGAGAATTTGTTAAAACTGATTTTATATTAAAGGCCAATATTCATTCAAGGAAGACAGAAATGAAGCTTCCCTGGCTTAAGTGGGTCTATAGAAATGGAACTTTATGTAGATTCTCCTGTCACCGTTCCTCTGTCCCTGACACCCCTTCTGGCCAGCTGCCACTAAGGTCCATCTCAAGTTCTTAGAACTCATTGAGCATGATTGGAACAGTACCGCACTGTAGTGTTTGTCTTCATCAGGAAAGCACAGGAACTTGCGAAAGATAAACGTTATCAGGCAAATTATAAAAATGATGTAACTTTGAATGATAACTAATTTAAATGTAAACACTGAAAGCCCACAAAGCTAAAATTCAGGAGAAATTTAAAAATATGAATAATTACTTCACATGGTATTGTTCTTAGTGTATTTTATAAATTATCTTGAAAATGAGACTATACATGCCTAGATTATATTGCTATTAATTCAATATATAGTACATTTTAAATATCCAACAAGATGCAGATTACTTGTAGTACAGACTATATGACATAATAAATAAGACACAATAAATATGATTTCCTTTATTGTTCAAGGCCCTCAGCTCACGCTCAAGTCACAATTTTTAAGTACTATTTTGATGTCTGTGCTGCTCCTCAGCTTTTCTTGTAATTTCTCTCCTCCAGGTCTTTCCAGGTGGTCTCAAATCTCTAGGACCAAAGGACTATCCTCTCCGAGAAACTTTATATTTCTTCATAACTTTAAACTAAAATTCACACTTTCTTAGCTATTTGGTTTTGAACCCAACAGCACACATTTAAATTATTTCTCAAGATAATAATTTTTCTATCGTCTTCACCTACTTAAAATTCCATTTTTCTTGTTACCCGTTCTTTTCAGAATGATCATATAATCTTTTGTGCTATATGATTTTCACATCACATACCCATCTATCCACACAACAAACATATGTGGTTGTTAGGGACCATTATCCTAAATTACTGAATTAACAATTTGTAACTGAGAAAGTTCACCTGGCAAACTTAAAAACATTACAGGCAAACTTTCTCAGTTACAGATTCTTAATTTAGTAAGTTAATATATGCAAAGTACATAGAAAGCAATTTATAAGTTATTAAGTCTTGTTATTCCATAATAATTTCATCAGTATTTCCCATAGTACCAGCTTCCAATAAGAGGTTTTTCTTTCTCATCCTATTTTGAATACTGATTCAGTTCAAGTTTCTTCTCGGGTCTTTCAGACTCTTGCTTTGCTTCGTGGACATGTGGCAAATTGTTCATGTTACAATTATTTATATGTATGTCTTTTTAGACTTGATCACAAACTTTTAAGAGCAAGTATTATGCCTCATTTGTTTTCCCTTTCATTCTTCATTCATTCATTCATGTAGCAAATGTTCACTGAAACACTACTACATGCCAAGTAGTGGTCCAGGTACCAGCTGTTGCAGGTGAAAAGATAGTGAGCAGAATCATTGACCTGAAGGAAATAATAACTGGAAGAGGAGACTGGCAAGTAACAAATTATTTCAAGACTAATGCTATCCCAGAAATTTTGTAAAAGATACAATAGAATCATAAGTGAAAGACCTCCTGTATCTGTCTGAGGAGTCAGTGAAGGCATCCCAGAAGACTAGCCTACTGAGTTCATTCTAGAATGAACTAGAACTTGAACGTGTGATGTTGAGGGCAAGCCATCCCAGGCAGAAGGAGCAGCATGAGCCTGTATATAGACAGGCACAGCTGTTGACCAAATCCATGAATAGAAGCATCATCAAACCCCATCTGCAGAATGAGACTCCAGTTACTGTGAGCATGTCTCCCCCTCTCATTTTTAAAATCAGACGTCCAGGTCTTTTGGAATACATTGGAAGAAGGAAGCTTTCCACAGAGCAGACCAGACAGAAATCAGGATTGCAGTTACCAAAGCACTGAGGACACAACCCTTCGCTGCCAAAGCTTTTGGGCCTCACCTTGTAATCGGTTATGCAGGCAGCAAAATCACATGTTACGCCTTTTTTAAAAGCATCACTAAATCCAATTCTAAGAAAATGTTTGGCAAAGGTCAGACATAGTCATCAGCTGCTTTTCACTGGAAACACTTAAGGAATTATAAACATGAGTACCTGAATGATGAAAAATGAACTTCTTGAACTAAATTATATCAAGAAAATCTTAAGAATTTTTTTCAGTAAACTTAAAGTTTAGCAATGAATAGAGATACATTTAAAACTCCTTGAAGGTACAACAGAAGCAGCCATAGAATAATTTACAAAATACAAAGTAAGCAGTTGCTGTTGTTTTAAAGTCAGACTTCTCTAAAATTAATGATATGGATTCACTGCTGTACGAAAACTGCTCTAAATTGATGAAACATTTCAAATCAATTTTATCTTTCAAAATTTCACTAGAAACAAATGATAAACACCTTTAAGCCCCTAATGTGATTTTTTGAGCCTCCTCCCCCTTCTTTCTTCCAATGGTTTTGGTTGCCCTTTCACTAAAATGTGCCCATTTGGACACAAGGGAAGGAACAATGGTGTGGAACATATAGGGACTAAAGAGAACCCTTTCTAGTGTGGAGTAATGGCAGAGAACTAGTTTGGAATTCAATATTTGCCACTTACTAGCTTTGTAACTTAGAAATATCACTTTATCTTCCTGTTTTCAATTTACTTACTTATAAAACAATAAAAAGCATGACTACATAGGATCGTAAAGATTAGCAAAGAGAGTAATTTATGTTGATGTGTGCCACATTAGTATCTCTAGGCCAGAATCTCTTCTGAGTTTCAAGGCTACCCAACTGCCCCAGAGACATATTTACCCTGACGTCTTGTATCACAATGTCTGTGCTGCTCCTCAGCTTTTCTTGTAATTTCTCTCCTCCAGGTCTTTCCAGGTGGTCTCAAATCTCTAGGACCAAAGGACTATCCTCTCCGAGAAACTTTATATTTCTTCATAACTTTAAACTAAAATTCACACTTTCTTAGCTATTTGGTTTTGAACCCAACAGCACACATTTAAATTATTTCTCAAGATAATAATTTTTCTATCGTCTTCACCTACTTAAAATTCCATTTTTCTTGTTACCCGTTCTTTTCAGAATGATCATATAATCTTTTGTGCTATATGATTTTCACATCACATACCCATCTATCCACACAACAAACATATGTGGTTGTTAGGGACCATTATCCTAAATTACTGAATTAACAATTTGTAACTGAGAAAGTTCACCTGGCAAACTTAAAAACATTACAGGCAAACTTTCTCAGTTACAGATTCTTAATTTAGTAAGTTAATATATGCAAAGTACATAGAAAGCAATTTATAAGTTATTAAGTCTTGTTATTCCATAATAATTTCATCAGTATTTCCCATAGTACCAGCTTCCAATAAGAGGTTTTTCTTTCTCATCCTATTTTGAATACTGATTCAGTTCAAGTTTCTTCTCGGGTCTTTCAGACTCTTGCTTTGCTTCGTGGACATGTGGCAAATTGTTCATGTTACAATTATTTATATGTATGTCTTTTTAGACTTGATCACAAACTTTTAAGAGCAAGTATTATGCCTCATTTGTTTTCCCTTTCATTCTTCATTCATTCATTCATGTAGCAAATGTTCACTGAAACACTACTACATGCCAAGTAGTGGTCCAGGTACCAGCTGTTGCAGGTGAAAAGATAGTGAGCAGAATCATTGACCTGAAGGAAATAATAACTGGAAGAGGAGACTGGCAAGTAACAAATTATTTCAAGACTAATGCTATCCCAGAAATTTTGTAAAAGATACAATAGAATCATAAGTGAAAGACCTCCTGTATCTGTCTGAGGAGTCAGTGAAGGCATCCCAGAAGACTAGCCTACTGAGTTCATTCTAGAATGAACTAGAACTTGAACGTGTGATGTTGAGGGCAAGCCATCCCAGGCAGAAGGAGCAGCATGAGCCTGTATATAGACAGGCACAGCTGTTGACCAAATCCATGAATAGAAGCATCATCAAACCCCATCTGCAGAATGAGACTCCAGTTACTGTGAGCATGTCTCCCCCTCTCATTTTTAAAATCAGACGTCCAGGTCTTTTGGAATACATTGGAAGAAGGAAGCTTTCCACAGAGCAGACCAGACAGAAATCAGGATTGCAGTTACCAAAGCACTGAGGACACAACCCTTCGCTGCCAAAGCTTTTGGGCCTCACCTTGTAATCGGTTATGCAGGCAGCAAAATCACATGTTACGCCTTTTTTAAAAGCATCACTAAATCCAATTCTAAGAAAATGTTTGGCAAAGGTCAGACATAGTCATCAGCTGCTTTTCACTGGAAACACTTAAGGAATTATAAACATGAGTACCTGAATGATGAAAAATGAACTTCTTGAACTAAATTATATCAAGAAAATCTTAAGAATTTTTTTCAGTAAACTTAAAGTTTAGCAATGAATAGAGATACATTTAAAACTCCTTGAAGGTACAACAGAAGCAGCCATAGAATAATTTACAAAATACAAAGTAAGCAGTTGCTGTTGTTTTAAAGTCAGACTTCTCTAAAATTAATGATATGGATTCACTGCTGTACGAAAACTGCTCTAAATTGATGAAACATTTCAAATCAATTTTATCTTTCAAAATTTCACTAGAAACAAATGATAAACACCTTTAAGCCCCTAATGTGATTTTTTGAGCCTCCTCCCCCTTCTTTCTTCCAATGGTTTTGGTTGCCCTTTCACTAAAATGTGCCCATTTGGACACAAGGGAAGGAACAATGGTGTGGAACATATAGGGACTAAAGAGAACCCTTTCTAGTGTGGAGTAATGGCAGAGAACTAGTTTGGAATTCAATATTTGCCACTTACTAGCTTTGTAACTTAGAAATATCACTTTATCTTCCTGTTTTCAATTTACTTACTTATAAAACAATAAAAAGCATGACTACATAGGATCGTAAAGATTAGCAAAGAGAGTAATTTATGTTGATGTGTGCCACATTAGTATCTCTAGGCCAGAATCTCTTCTGAGTTTCAAGGCTACCCAACTGCCCCAGAGACATATTTACCCTGACGTCTTGTATCACCCCACTTCACTGTATAACAAATACATCCATGGGATTCCTTCTGTGTCCGGTCCTGCTCCTGCTGGTATTGTCTCAGTGAATTTTATCACCATTCATCACTTCCACAGGCCAGAAAGATTAAAGGCATCCCTACTATATCCTCTCTCTTATCTAGTATATAAATCATTTTCTGAGTTCTGTGAATTTTGTCTTCAAAATAATGTCAAATTGCAATACAGGATTTTTTGCTGGCCTTCCTGAATGTGCTTTACAATGGCTACAAAACTTTTCACATGCTGCAGTTAACAGTAATCTTTTGAAATCTCAAATCTGATCATGATCTGTTTAAAATTCAACAATGGCTTTTGTTACTCAACAATATGGCCAAATCCATAATCAATACCTTTTTTTGAACTAATTATTTTTTCCTGTCATATTTACATCCTCCTGAATGTTACTTCATTGACCCAGAGAAATAATAGATGAGTGATTAGGTAAGGAGTTAAGGCCTTTTTTTTCTATTAGGAGGTAAGATAGAAACTGTTGTTTACCACCGCATCCATAGCATCAAAGACAATGCCTTGTCCAAGGTAGTTACTAAATATATGTATGTAGAAAGAATAAATAAATCAATAAAACCCCCTAGAAAATACTTAATGTGATAGAAGTCATAAAATATGTTAAAAATGCATATCTAAAAATGACCTGGGTTTTAAATGAGGGTGATACTTCTCTAGCAAGCTCTACTTATATTGGTTAAAAGATTATGAGATACTTAATTGGTTTAAAGATTACTTGTACTGATTAAAAGAAAATTATAAATATCACTTACACTCAAATTCATTCATTAATTTCATCCTATACTAATACCATTTGGTACTTAGACTAGAGAAGCTTGAAAGATACTAATTTTCATCTTATAAGGCTCTTAGACAAGGTAGAGAAGGAAATGATACATAGAAAACTTACCATGTAACTAATAAATAAAGGAGTGATTAAACATGACTATGTATGTGTATGAAATTATTTCATACCTGAAAGTTTGGCAAATACATAAATAGGATCAGAGTTCAGCCAGAGAGAAGAGTGTGTTCAAAAGCATGAGCCATGCTTTTGATGAGCATGGTCTGAAAAAGGAAATCATAGAATTCTAAATGGTGAATCTTTCAGAACCCATTACCAATATATTCCTTTCTTTCTGTACTGTGGGTGTTTATGGAAAGAAGGGAACACACGTTACTTGAGATTGTCCCTCTTTTTAGCTCACAGGAAGCCCCTCCCCTTACCACACCCTTTGTTAAATCCCATATTCTCAGTGACCTCAAGGTTTTCAAAGAACTGATCTTATCTGCCAGCCAGTGTTTCTTCCATTGGCTATGATCTTCAGATAAAGCGGAAGAGGTTCCGTATCTATGCAACTGTTGGTCCTCTAAAAGGCAGGGAAAGGTTGATAAGATACAAGTTCTCTTGTTGGCCCTAAATTGTGGTTTTGCTATGCCACATGCTCACTAGATGGCCTGGGACAAATTATTTTCTTTAAGCCTCTGTTTTCTCATCTGTGAAAAGGAAAATAAAAGAATGGTACCTACTTCATAAGGTAGAGGTGAAGATCAAAGGAAATAATGCATGCAGTATACACCTACAGGAGTTCCTGGCACATTAAAAAATACTCAGAATGTGTTAGCTATTACAAAAAAAAAATGACTCCATTTATCTCCTCAGTGTAATTGTCCATTTCTTATACTACTCAAATAGGAGAATTTAGAATTCCATAAACACGTTGTACACTTTACACCTCTGTTTTTCTTGTTACTCTCCTAGCTTAGAATAGTCCCTGTTCTTTTTCTATCTGCCATTGCCTGCTCATTCATCAAAGACTTCTCTTCTGAGGCTGAACTATTCAGAAGTCATTTCTTTCTCCTTCGTGTTCCTGTTGGATTTTGTTTGTAACTCTTTCATTTCACGTAACACAGCCTGATGTCTCATGTTTTCTTGCACAATTATCTGACTTCCATGTTGAATTTACAGCTCCTAGAGGTCTGGAACTGTCTTAGTCATTTATGTCATTAAATCTAGCACAGGAAGTACGAAGTTGGTAAATGTTCTTCATTTCTTTATATTTTACTTATCTGTTTATATTTTCATGAATTATCAATGAACTTAGTGAAACATCAGTGCTTATTGAATACCCCTTACCCACAAGTCATATATTGTTTTACTGTTTTTGCTTGTAGACCTTCTTGTGTTAGAGTGGAGGGACAGAGTAGTGAAATGAAGAGAGAACTCATGGTGTTGGAATCTGGCTCCTCCACATAGTGGTGTGTGGTATTGGGGAAGTCACTAAACTCTCTTAGTGTCAATGTCTTCACTCTTTCTAGGGATGATAGTACTTTGCTAATATAAGGTTGACTAATGATGCATGTGCAGAATCTGCATGTAGCAGGCTTTTGGGTAGGGGAGACGTTACTATCTGTTCTTTATTTATCAAGAAGATACTGACAGCTCTACTCAGGAAGCTTACTGAAAGCCCAGATCTAAGTACAACCCTAGAGTTTTATATTACTATCTTAAACATAGTCATAGACATTATTATAATAGCTATTATCATGATTATTATTAATTAGGCTTAAAATCAAAATGTCAAAACTTTTCTTGGCAACACAAGCAGGAGTTCTCAAAGGTGATTCTAAAACTGCTAGATATGATCTTGTGTCACACTGCATGAGGTTCTTTAACACATGCATTTGTTTCATTATCACAGCACTCTTTGATGTATTCTGATCCCAGTATTTCAGGTTAAGAAACTTCAATTCGGGGAATTGAAGTTAAAATTTCCAAGGTCACAAAACAGTTAGCTGAGAGAGTCACATCTTAAACCCATTTTTTTCCCCTGATTTTAATTCCAGTGTTCTTCCCATGGTTGCCGTGCATAAAATGCTCTATGTTAAGCAGAATGGGAATTTAAAGACCCTTGCAACTTGATTCATGAACAAATAAATTATTGATAAGTTAGGAATTGAAATATGCTTTCTCAATTTAAAGGGTTTGGGGATAACATTATAAAAATGTAAGTTTCTTTTTAATTTCTCAAAAGCAACTGGTCACGCTTGATTCAACAATTCATATGAAAGGAACTGAACTTTACCTGAATCTTGGAGGTAGCTATAGTCATAGCCCAGATCTCTGGATGAAATAAAGAAATCACCGTTTCTATAGAGAGGTATAAAAGGAACCATGTAGGAGTCACGGTTATGTCCAATGGGTGCATTGGCCTCTGGGTAAACTTCTTGAAGAGGACGGTGCCTTCGAAGCCACTGTTCAAAAATACTGCAGAGGAAAAGATTATTCAGCCTCAGAAACATACTGCTTATAAAAGAAATACTTAGAATTCTTAACATAACAAGGCATATCTTGAAATCCCAAGATATGGAAAGATGCCAAATATTTTTCATGCTTTGAAAATATTTTGTAAAGCACCAGTTTATGCTGTCAGGCCCTGATGAGGCCCATTCATCTGAAAGAAATAACAGAGGATAACTTTGAAAAAGGAATTTAGGAGATGACTGAAATGCATATGACAAAGTTTAGACCCCTCAGAATGCTGCAGAGCAAGGGTAATTATTGTCTGAGTGACAGTTGAGTCATAGTTATAAATTAAATGTTTCTTGTCTCAAAGAAAGTTAGCCTAAAGGAAGGACATAAAAAACAAAGAAATCAGTACTGGCATTTGGTCTTTTTTTTTGTCAGAGTGGGAGACTTTTAACTGTTTCAGCCCCCTGGTTATGTTTGGTGAAGTGTCTGCTTAATGGAGCTTGTGGGGAGAAAGAGCTCACCTTCCATGATGGAGACTAAAAATATTTGGACTTGGTTTCCCAGCTTCCCCTGAGGATGGAATATGACCCACATGATCAATACTCAGCCAATGAGATATACCCATCATGTAACAGATGATAGTGATGCAAAGAAACAAGGACAATGGAAACCATTCGAGAGGTGGGCAATGGCAGTTATGAGAACAGCATCCTGTTACTAGGGGAAGCAAGGCCAGAAATAGCTGCAAAGGGGTGCACTCTGTGTCCTGCACCATGTCTTGGCTGCTGCCCTCCTCCCTTGTTTCCACCTGTTTCTGAACCTGTTTCTCATGATTCCCTCAGCTATCTGACATCCTCGCAGCAAATACTTTTCCTGTTTTAATTGGTCAATTAGATCAAATTCTTTTCCTGCTTAAATTAGAGTTAGTTTCTGTTGCATGTAACTAAAATCTCTGATTGGAACAAAGCTAAAAAATTAAGAGATCAAAAAGGTCCAGTAAGGATGGAATAGAAACTCAAACTGTAGCAGAATTTATAGTGGGTCATTAAAAGTGTGATAAAGAAAATGGTTTTGTATTATCAGGGCACATAACTTAGAGGGAAGAATACTGCATCTGGAGACGGCGAGTTCCCCTGTGGCCTGGCTCTGTAGTTTAAGAGCTGTATGAACTCTAGGCAAATCACATGAATTCTACGCAAATCAATGAAGGTTTCAGAGATTTAAGGCTACTCATCACTAAAATAAAAGTAATAATGTCTTTCCTATGTTTCCAAAGGAATTATCCAATGGGATAATTTTTATAAAAGTTCTGAATAAGTAAGCTATTGTTATTTAGCTATAAAATGTAAGCTAGGAGATAAAAGGTTAGTGTGTGGTTGAGGGGCTGGTGTCTAAAAAGGAAAGTGAAAAGACATCTTTTTTTAAAAGGCATTTTGAAGTACAATAACGAGAACAAGGAAGCAGATGGCAGCAGTGGTGATCATTTTTCCATGGTGGAAAATTTTTGCTTACAGAACCTGGACTTCAAATACTAATTGTGGTCAGAGTTGGCTATTAATTGTGAATTAAGTGAGGTATCAACAGGATACTGATAAACATAGAAAATCTGGTCCTTGAATACAAAAATGCTCTCTAAATAGCTGAATCTTTAAATATGTTTTCTGAATACTTACTGTGTCAACTTTTGGACAAATATAAAGCTGTGTAAAACCCTGAGTTTTGTGGTTTGTGACAAGGGAAATTTGTAAAATTTCTCAACCTGCTTGATTTTCCTTTTTATTTGCAAAATAGGAATAATATTTATATCATGAAGGTATTGTGACAAATTAATATAAGTAAACTACCTAGCTAAGTGCTCAACAAATGGTAAGGAGAAGCTATCATCATCCCTATCCCCTCTTCCCCCTTCTTCCTCCTAATTATTAATGTTACATGGAAAGAATTTCACAACTGGTAAGAGACATGAGACATGCTATGACAGAAACCCCAAAGCCTGTATATTTGAGTAGAGTCTTTAAGAATGGTTATTATTCTAGTAGGCAGAAAATGAGAAAGGAGAAGATTGAGGAAGATTGGTTTTTCAGTGTGTACCTCCATTTCCTCAACTGAAGAATTTAGGAATCTGGCTTAATAAATCCCCAATTCCATTCAAGTCCTAAAATTTTATGAATTAGTCTTTAAGCAGTTTTCTTCTTTGCACAAAAGAGTGATTTGTTCATTATATACAATTTAGGAAATATAAACAAGCATTATATCTAGTTTTTAAAGTATGCATATATAATGCTACAAAAATATTTTAACAAGAGAGTTATATTATAGATAATGTCTTAAAATATTTTATTTCACCAAACACTGTTTAAGTTTGAAACAATATTTGAACATGTTTAAACAATGTTTACCAGCTTTCAACTGGCAAATGTATCTTTTAATGAGGAGGCTCCCTGATAATTAATCTCTCCCCGACCCCTATTAAAATTTGATTGATTTAAAAAGAACACAATATGCAGTGAGCCCAAGGTAAGAACTTGAGGCAAAAATTGTGCCTTTTATCAATTAAGAAAAATTATTACTGTCATTCAATTAATAAATTATCTTTTGTCTGCCAAGAAATAAAAATTCTTTACCTAGGTAATACAAGGGTAATCAATTCTTAGCACCAAAAGATTTAATGGATGAAACCATTAATGTGCTCACCCACCTTATCAACCTTTTAAATGAAGGTATTAATCTTGATTAAATTCTTCATTGGTGGTTCTCATCTTCAGTTAATTTCATCAAACCATATCTAGAATGGCTCATGTCAGAATACTAATGTGTAAGTTAGATAATCCCACTGACAGACATATGGGGAAAAAATTATCTTCTTACCAAAGATTCATTTAAACTGCATCTAGACAGTTTTCTGAAAGTCTGAGCGACAATAAAATTCCAGTAGTTAGGAAAAGGTAAAAATGACCATAGATGGAAAAAAGAAGATATGTATTTTATACGTACAAGTAACATAGGACTTCTGGTTCCAGGACTGACATGTTAAGACCCTGGTCATACCCACAAGAGAGAGCTAGACAAATGGAAAAATCAGTAACGTTTCATGGCCCCATGAGAGAACTGAGGTCACAGGGCAAACTGCTACCCCAAAAACTGCAGAGATAAGTGCATCCATGGGAACACAGCTGAGATCTGGGTGTCAGGAGCAGAAGCAGCTGGATCCATAAACTGGAAGGGACATGTAAGCATTTTGGTGGCTGGCTGGAGATTGAGGATGGACTAATAGTGATAGTGAGGAACTCCCGAGAGCCACTTTCTTGGGGATATTTCTACACAGTTGGAGTTTTTTTACCTCCAGGAACTCTATCAGGTTTTAATAATGAAAATGGGAGAAAGATTCTCTTCTGGATTTGTCAGCAAGAGGGAGAGTGTGACCTTCATGATACATGCCCAAAGCCTTGGTCATAGCCAAGCCCTTAATCCAGAAGAAATAGCTACTGAGCCTCATCCCTGCTGGAAGAAGGGATTTCCTCTCAGTCTAGGCATTTCCAGCCATCCTGTCTCACCTAAGGGGAAATAAAACACAGCCTGCATAGGTCAGGCCTTCCAGGAAATAGATTGGGAATTCTGTAACCAGAAAAGGGAGAAGGAGTCCACCATACCATTGGAAAACATTCACGAGGGTCACAGCCCTAAGACAGTGGCCAACTAAAAGCTGCAATGCAATCATAGTATTTTAGAACCCACCCCTCCCTTCTACTTTACCATGGTACCAACAGAGCAGAGTGGAGACAAAAACAAAGACACTCTGGAAATTTGAAGTCTCTGGCACCTATAGCTATGAAAACCATAGAATACAGCACAATCCTTGCCAGATTAATATAAATCCTTACGTTAAAGTCCTGTCTACCTCGGTTTCCTGTCACCCAATAAAACGTATCTGACTTCAATAAAAAGTTACAAGCCATGCCAGAAAGTAAGAAAATAACAGTTTGAAGAGACAAATCCTCGGACCTCCAACTCAGATATGGTGTAGATTTTGGAATTGTGAGATAGAGAATTTAAATAATTATGAATATGTCAAGGGCTCTACTAGAAAAAGTAAACATCATGCAAGAACAGATGGGTAGTGAGGCAGAGAGGTGGAAACTCTATGGAAAAATCAAAGGAAATGCTAGAAATAAAAAATACTGTAACAGAAAAGAAGAATACCTTTGATGGACTCATTTAATATTCTGGAAATGCAAAGTCAAATAAAGAACTGTCCCTGTCTTCAAAAGTGACAGTCTCGTCAGTCATTCAGCACAGTAGAGTATGAGTGCCATGGGAGAGGAGGGGCCGTTAACATTTAGGGAGAACACAGAGAGAGGAGATAGCATCTGTTTGGGGGAACTATTAGAGTTCCCCGGAAAAGCAGAACCAACAGAGTGTGTGTGTGTGTGTGTGTGTGTGTGTGTGTGTGTGTGTGTGTGTGTGTGTGCAAGGAGAGAGGGAAATAGAGAGTCACAGAAACAGACACAGAGAGAAACAGAGACAAAGAAAGATTCATACAGTCATGGGAATGTGGCAAGTCCCAAATTTGCAGGGTCGGCAGGCAGGCTGGAGACCCAAGGGTTGCAGTTAAACTCTAAAGGCAGTCTGCTGGCAGAATTCCTTCCTGCTTGGAGAGTTCAGTTTTTCCCATGAAGGCCTTCAACTGATTAAATGCAGCCCACCCACATTATGAAGGGTAATTTGCTTTACTCAAAGTCTACTGATTTAATGTTAATATCATCTAAAAAATACCTTCACAGAAACATGTAGAATAATGTCTGAGCCAAAGTCTGGGTACCATGGCCTAGCTGAGTGGAAACATAAATTAACCATCATAGGTGATGTCAGGCAAGGCACCCCAGTGTAGGTGACACTTGAACCTACCTTTTGAAAAATGAATAGCAGACGTCTGGGTTAAGTAACAGAAGGGAAAGGGCAGCCTAGGAGGAATAAAACACAGGCATGAAGAAACAAAGGTATGCCTTTAGGGCCTT